ATATCAAATAAGAGTTTTACGACACTGGCAACACATAAATGAATATAAGGACCGAAGATAAACAGTGTTACTAGAAATTAACATATAAAGAAAAGAAGGAGGAAAGATTAGGACGACAGATGTTTGATAGGAAAGCAGGAGCAAACCATATCAGAGCACCAACCAATTACCCACCCTAGACACAATAAATGACTTAATTTCTTAAAGATGGAACACTGAGCCAGCTTGTTAGAAAAAAGAATGAAAAAAGGAAGAAGGAAAGAGCAAAGTGAAAGGGGAGACACAAGCAAAATGCCACATATATTATTTTACACTCATTAATAGGTAAATATTATGCTCGTGTGTGCTAATATTACACCAGTAGAGGTGCTGCACCTCCAGCTGGTCTTTTGAATCAGACGTGTCCCGATCTCCAACAACACACGGACACGTGGAAAAGTGTTAGCAGAATGTAAGACAGGGGCAAATAAAATCGTTATCTTAGAATGACAAAGATGTATCTGCTCAGTGCCTAGTTTTGAGAAATTTGAAGTTATAAATTGTGAGTGTCACAATAGATCAAGCATTTTCGATTGTAATTCTTTGGATATCTTGATAACGACTCAGAATGATCTTACGATTTTGAAAGAGCAGGTAGAGCATTTGATTTCTAATCTGATGGTCATAGTAACTCAAAACAACCAGAAATGTCAGAAAGAACTTTGTAATTCTGAGGTACCGAAATGTTAGATGACAACCCTTTCAGGTCGATCAAGAACGACAAGCCTCGAGCACAATGTTGCAATATGAACATTTGTCCGCACACGTTGTTGTATACGCCCATACCTCTATATTATACATTATCTTATTCAAACATGTCTGTATGCACATGATCGTAGACCAGTGGAAATACAGACATGCATACATTTCAGCACATAACCACGCAAACCAAAACACATCCAATATTATAATATAATATATAAATATAAATATAATATTAATAATAATAATATTATTATTCACACGCATGTCCCCCGGCGAATGTATATATACTATTATAAAAAATGAGCAGGGTATACTCATGAAAATTTATATTCTTGATATCCGTGAAAGCAAGTTGTAAGTAGAGAGGCCTCGGACGAATTAATAGGTACAAAAGGTAAAATAGTAAAGCGGTATCGAAATCACTTCACGTCGTGAAAATCAACTCTATCTGCAACTACATTCTGACAATAGCATACCTCCGTCTTCAAGATCCAAAAACAAAAATAAGCTGGAAACATAAAGAGGTGTAAAAGTTAGAGGTCTAAGCAATATGTATCACTACTGAGATAAAAAAATGTTTTTATTCGATATTATACTGAACCCATGTTTAAGCGTTAACATCTGACAAAACGACAGCTGATAGAGTATACGAAGTACTAGTAGACTATTCAAGAAAGCTTTAATATTAACATATTCATATTGACATATTACATAAGTCTGTAAAACAATGGGCTATATGAAAAATGTTCAGTCAATGTCAGTTATAAAGCATGTAATGCTGCATGTAGTTAACTTGTATAAAACAAGCTATTTCCAATATAATATTATATATATCACGTGTATTTAAAGTAAGACGATAAAAACAAATATTAAGACTGCAACCTAAATTATGCACACCACACAATTAAGAGGTTTGCTCATCAAATTGATGATAATTAATTAATCGCAACAAGCGTCCAGCTTGTGATATATTGGCTATGTGAAAAAGGTTTAGTCAATAAGATATCAGGCATAGATCAAGTAGTGCAGCATGTAGTTTGCTTGTACAAAGCAAGCTATTTCCAATATAATATTTTATCACACGTGTATTAAAAGATAGATCTAGATGATAAAAACAAATTAAGGCACCAACACAAATTATGCAAACCACACAATTTGCTCATCAAATTGATGAAACGTTTGGCCATCGCCTTCTCAGTATCAATTATAAAGACACACTGAACTTGGTACACAGATGTCGCTGCTAAGCATTAACAGAGATTGAGTAATGTTTCGTAGTGCTCTATTTATAACACTAGTTGGCTCGTTATAAAGCGGGATGTAATGCTATCAATGCAATATTATCATCATTTTTGTAATGATGATGAAGATGATGAGTATGATGATTATCATTATCATCTTCGTTACAAAAATGATGACAACATGATCAAGGTGATGCTGATGATGGCAATGATCGTCCTGATTCTCCTCCTCCTCCTTCTCTTCCTCTTCCTCCTCCTCCTTGTCATCATCATCATCATCATCATCATCATCATCATCATCATCATCATCATCATCATCATCATCATAAGCACTACTATTACCACCAACACCACCATCATCATCTCTAGAAATTTTAAAAGAAAAACCCAGTTTATTATTTTCCGTATGACTTATAAGAGCTCATTAGATACCCCTGGGATAATGCGGGATTTGTGGTTGAGCTGTGGCTGTTGGTGACTTGAAGATACCGCTTGGCGCTTGTTGCAACTTTCCTGAAGGGTAATTAGCCCGGAAGTTCTGTGTCCCTCACCCCCCCCCCCCCTTTTTTTCTCCCGGTGTCGGGGGTGGTGGTGGTGGTGGGGGTGGGGGTGGTGTTGGGATGAGTTTCTGACAGGGGAGGAAAGAGGCTGGATTGAGGTTAAAGTCTCCATTCACTGCATCAACGATAGCTACATTTAAGTAACTAGCTATCTAATTGTTTGGTATTGCTCTAAAGATGTTGTAATAGTTTTATGCTAATTAAAAAAGACTTGCATTCACAGTTTCATATTGTTGAAGTTTTTGAGATGTGAAAATGAGAAATTATAATGATATTAGAGTTGTATTAGTGTGCTAGTAGGTGGCTGAAGAGACCTGAGCACACAAAGATATAGCGTTTTCATACTGATAAACACCAATGTGCTGTGGGAATCACAATCCCGTAGTTTTGTTTCTGTTTCTTTGTACAGATAGGTTTGCCTCAATTGACAACGTTTTCTTCTGATAATAATTTCGTTAGGCAACAGAATCAGCCCTTTAATCTCTTCGTACCTTCAGCCGATTTCTCAGAATCCGTGGTCTGTGAGCTCATCACACCTCACTTGACACTTCAGGAATATCGGAGACCCGAGGGCTTTGGCTGGTTCTGGGGCTGTTCAAGACTTTGAGACGTCTCTGGACGCCGTTTGAGCTGTCCTGAAGTGCAACAGACCCAGGCATTTTGTTCCCTGCTACGTCGGTGTCATGAGGAGGGGTTGGGTCTCTGATAGGTGACCCAGCTTGGATGGCTGTACTTTCTTCCGAAGAAGAAGGCTCTGCTGAACGACTTCTATCTGCCTGTGTCACTGATGCGGATGCGTTATACGTCGTACTTGATGGGAAGCTGCTGAGTGTTAATGGGTTTGAAGTTAAGGATTCTACTGTGTTTGTCTGAGGAATATGTCCGTTCACAGGTGAAGCGTTTACTCGACTGTCTGTGGTAGCCACAATGGGGGGAATAATACCTGCTGAGTAATTTCCTTTTATTTCGCAATTATCATTTGTAGGGATTTGTGAATGTTTTTCATTAACCTGTTGAGTTTGTTGGTTTTGTGCAAAAGTCTCCTGAGTGTTTGGTGACATTTGCCTCTGCTTATGACTACTGCCATCATCACAGCGAGTTGAATTTCCAGGGCTCTCAGCCTGAACGCTAAAGTCTTGCATATTGTGACCTGGATGGGCGTGGCTTCTTTCTGCTTGTTCAAAATCTGAATCTGGAGGAGGAATGGGAGTGATGTAGTCATTCGATACAGCTCTTCTCGTTCTATGCGGAGCAGGTGGAGAAAGTATGAGGCCTGTATAACTGTGAGGGTCATCATCTACTCCTGAGTGGCCCACACGACCGCTTCTGTCGCAAAGAGAAGGGATTCCATCAACGCCGAGGATCAATTCTTGTCCAGGTCGCAGAACGACCGGGTTATTAAGAGGAAGTGTCTGATTATTGGGCACTACGACAGCTTGGTTCTGAACGAGCTCTTGCGGAAATGTGACAGTTTGTGGTGACACAATACCTCCGGCAGGGTAAGAACTGTTTCCGGCAACGACATCAGCGCCTGGCGCCAGGTTCTCATAAGGTACCAAATTATCGTCCGCTTGTTTCACCAACCAGTACGCCGGCTTCGTGCTATAAAGATTATTAGCGGCTGAGTATATCGGAGAGTCCAGGGTGTATACTTTATGCACATTGTCAAAGACAATCTGATTTTGCGGAGCAGCCACCGAAGCTGCCGCTCCAACTACATGACCGTCGTGTGGTAGGTTTCCGTAGATCGTGGAACCGACAGGTGGTGCCTCGATGACTTGGGAGGAGATATCCCCTTCGTGAAGGAAAAACCTTGGTTGTGAGTGATGAGTAGACGGCGTTATGTACCGGACCTGGCTATTTGAAGAGTCAGAGGTGTTGCTTGTTAGGGGCGAGTCTGTCCTGATGCTGTTCATAGGCATGTGAGGGCGAGGCAGGGGCGGTTCTGAGCTCACTTCGCTCCGGCTTCTATCGTCAGATGAGGTAGAGTATCCCTAAAGAAGAAAAGGCGGAAAGGGGGGGGGGTGAGAGAGGAAAGATATCATTTTACATCACTTGTTTCCAAATCTTAGGACAACACAGAATATGGTGTGGTCCGGGGGGTTGGTAGAATTGAGGATTAAAAAATATTGTTTTTTTAAGTTAGAGTTTTCCGGCACTTGCAATGCAATAAGGTAAAAAAAAAGTGCCGAAGATTAGAGGTGTTACGAGCGAGTAATAAACACAAAAATAGGAGGAGAGATAAGAATGATAGATGTTTGATAGGAGAAAAAAGGAGCAAACCACACTAGAGCACCCTCAAACCATCCATGAAATGATGATGAATACCTCAAGGAGTAAGAGACATCTAAAGTGGTTAGTCACACCAACATGCGTCTGGAAAAGGAGTGATTATTATTTTGTGTGTGTGTGTGTGTGTGTGTGTGTGTGTGTGTGTGTGTGTGTGTGTGTGTGT